GAGAGCAGGGCTAGTATTGTGGTGTAGCCAATAGGTGCAGCCCACAACACCAGCATCCTTTATGGGAGCTGGTTCATGTCCCGGATGCTTCATTTCCGATCCAGCTCTCTGCTAATGGCCTGGGAAAGCAGCAGAGGATGGCTCAAGTGTTTGAGCCCCTGTACCCACATAGGAGACCCAGATGAAACTCCTGACCCAGCTTCTGCCTAACCTAGCCCTGGCTGTTGTGGCCATCTGGGAAGTGAAGCAGAGGGTGAGAAATCTGCCTCTCTTGTCTCCGCTCTCTGTAAACTCTGCCTTTCAAGTAAACAAATAAAACTTTAAAAACAAAGTAAATACAAATAAATCCAGAGAGCTCTGGGTTTAATGCCAACTCCCACCGTTCCTAATGGTTCAGTCTAAATTACTTTACGTCTTTGAGCCTTCCCCACCACCAGTACATAATCAAGAGGGTATGCAAGAAAGTGAGCCACATCCAAGTACGTGACCAGCTGTCCAACAGGGTAGCTAGCCACTAAGACTACTTGTATGACAAACACAGCAGCATTCAAAGGTAATGCCAGACTGGAAACCTGACCAGGCAGGCAGGAGGGATCTTCAGGTTCAATATGGGCTGACTCAGCCCAGCCTCTCTGAAGTCTAGGCAGTCTACCAAGCACCCCAAGTCTACCTGCTGCATCACTGGGCCAGAGAGCTGAGTGTACTCTGCAACTCTACCGGCACCATGACAACCAGGGAAGCCATCCAGGCAAGAGTCAAGGAAATGTCTATGTCCTGGCCCAAGAACAGAAGCATTGAATACGGGATTCTGACAGGTGCAGCTGCCATTGGCAAAGGGAGTATCATGGGGAACATGACACATTAGCAGGATCATTCTGGCAGGATGGAGGGGAGTCCCAGAGGCAGAGGGGGCCTCCAGGGCAGACACTGTAGTCATATCTGGGGTACAGACTCAGAGCAGAGACCTGGCAGTGAGAATGCACACGCAGGAAATAGCCACCACTCATGGCCATTGCTACCGTCACCTCCCCAGGGAGCAGTGAGCGAGTCCATGGTCTGCAGACAAACCTCCAGGCAAAAAAGTGCTATGCCAGTATGTTGGATGACCTTGCAAACATAATGCTCAATCAAAGAAGCCAACGCCCAAGAGAACAAATAACAATGTGGTTCCATTGATCAGAAGTGCCCCAAACCAACAAACCCACTGAAACAGAAAGTAGACCAGCAATTGCCCAGAACTTGGCAGAGAAGATAAGGGGAGGCACTGCCCATTGGGCATAGAGTTTCTAGAGAGACAAAGAATGTACTAGTTTATGGACTGTCTAAATTGTACATTTTAAAATGGTAAGTTGTCAATGATACCCCACAATGTTTCAAAGGCCAGTTGGAGGATGCTCGGCCGAATTTACTTAGGGGGTGGACCGTGGGGCTGAGTAAGTCCCCCGAAGCCTTCCCCAAAAGAAGCCACAGCAGGTGGTGGGAGAGGAGGTCTGTATTCTCCTGATTTTCCTCCACGTAAGGATGACTCCCTGCTCCAGCCAGAGCCTGCTCAGCCACTGGTCCCCGACCCCTCTGCTCCCACATCCTCAGACTCTGCATGGTTTGTCAGCCCATTCCCAGAGTTCCTGACATGTCTAGCTCACATCTGCCCTGTCCGCCCACCTCCCCCGCACACAACTGGGAATCCATCAGTCTGGCCTCCCGAGGGCTGGAACCTGTCGATTCCCTCTGCCTTGCCTTTCCAAGAAGATCCTGAGCCTGTGGAGGCCAGAAGAAGCGGGCCTGTGGGGTCCAAGCCCAGAGCGATATCGTGGGGGACCTCTGTCCTGTATGGTTACATTCAGATTCTGGGGACTCCCCAGCAGCCAAGTGAGGTCAGTATGCCTGCAAAGACTAAAGTCTGCTGCCAAGACAGACAGTGGGACAAACCTGCCATCAGTAATCCAACCCCAGGGGCCCTGGGACACCAGGTGCCTTCCCACCATCTGAATTAATTAAAACAGTCAGGAATCAATGAGATTACCATTACAGAAGGAGAGGCAGGTACTCTATCCCATCCCTATCAAGTTTCTGGGTGGGCACAGATAACAGAGTTAATTCAGATAACAAAGTGAATCCCCAAGCCAACTCAGCAGGACTCAGGGTGGGCAGTTGCCCCACAGGAGCCCCACAGGAGTCCACAGCAGGCTGGAATCCTGGGTGAGCTGTGAGCAGGCCGGGAACACTCCCAGGTCAACACTGGTCCGGGAAGAAGGGGATTCGGAGCTGGCACCAGGTACAGAATGAAGGCGGCGGCTCTCTGTGGGTGAGCAGACAGGAACAGGTGCCCGGAAGTCAGGCTGGCAGGAGACAGCAGAGGACACCAGCAGACGGCCTTCGAGGGCACACTGGAGCCTCAGGATACAAAATCGAAATTCCCACAGCCACTTCCAGAACAGTGTGAGTGGAGACAGGGAGGAGGAAAGTCTTCTTCTTCCCTTCCTGCTTCCTACCAAAGACCCCCGACCACAGGGACCTTCCAGCCCCACAATCCTAACTTCAGATAAAAGGAGATGCCATGGCTGGATGTGCCTCTGGGCTTCCAAGGATGGAGCAGGGCCTTTTAACCAAATGACCTCTGAGCATCAAAGGACCAAGCCAAGTCCTGGTCCCAGGCAGCCCAAGGGCAGCCCCTGGTTCTGTCACCGAACCCAGGAAACACTTGGGGTCAATCACTGTCCTTTCCTCTCATTCTTCCCACTTGGCAAGGAGGAAGCTGAGCTGAGCCATGTCCACAGGCTCTCCCATCCACGGGATCCATCGGATCTCTGCCAGGGCTCACAGAGCCTTTAGACAGGCTAACAGTGAGAGCACCTCTCTGCTTATCAAAACAGCACCCATCTATTGTATACCACTTAGAAAAGAATATAATATAAACAAGAAAAATAAAAACCTCTCAGCCAGAGGTGACCACTACTAACTCGTGGGAAGCCTGCCTTCCAGGTTTTTGGTTGGTGCTGCTCCCTGGTTTGGTTTGGGTTTTCGTTCACACGGTTTCTTTTTAACCAGTTGGGTCCACATAGTCTTCATAATTTTGTAACCTGTCATGCAGCTGTGAGTGTTTTCCAAAGTTACCAAGAACTCTTCAAAAATACAATTTTAATGGTTGCATAGTACCTCACCAAGTGGATTTACCAGTTACTGGGCACTGGGATGGCCTGCCTAGGACAAACTGCCACGAATGTCCCAGCCTAATGGGACATTCCTCTTGCAAAAGCGCCAGGTCGCCCAAGTGACATTCTCATAGAGTTGTGGCAGGTAAAGCAGCAGCACAGGAAACCCATTGCTTTTCCCCCGGCCCAGCCAGAGCTGAGGGGCTGAGAGCTGGAGTTGGACAAAGGGCGCTGAGCCAGCTAGGTACTCTCAGTCCGCCAAAGAGGGGCAAGAGCTTCAAGCCAAAAGACTCGGCTCCGCCCCTTGCTGGGGGCATCTGAAATGAGTCCTCCTCCACCAACACCTGCCATGAGCTCTGCTGACTAAAAGCAAAAGGCAAGAATTCTTTGTAGAGATTGAGTGCTGGAAGCCTAAGGGCACTGCTGTCATTCGGTACCCCCAGGGGCTCTCCTGCCTGATTTTTGGTTCATCAGCCCGCCCAGCCCAAGGTTGTGGCTCTGAGGGGCAAGAAGCAACTTTCCCCAGGGGAATTGTCAATGTCACAGTAGAAGTGAAGAACCTCAGTTTCAAAATCCCAACTGTTTGTTCATTGCTCATTGCTACTATGAAACTGTACAAGCTTCCAAGCTAAAGACCCATGTAACTGTATAAGCTTCCAAGCTAAAGGCATATGTGACCTTTAGCACTGATGGGTCCCAATGCTTATGAATCAAGTCCCACCTAAATCTTACCTTAGTTGCTGGAGGCGTGGGCTGTCCAGCCGAGATAGGTAGGGAATGTGTGCTATTTCCCCTCACCTTGCAGACTATTGTGAATTTCCCCTTTTCAAGCTATTGTGGACTGCCCCTATAAAAACCCTATGAATGTGCTGTTCGGGGCCACACTCGCGGTAAGGGGTGTTGGTCCCGGCCAGCCGACTGGCCGGTCAGTCTGTCAGCTGCCTGCTCTCAACCAAGAACCCAGGCTCAGATGTGCTGAGCTTAACTAAACCATCTTTGTGCACTTGGATTGACTTCAGATTCCTGGTGATTTCTGGATATCTCAAAATCTGGGCACAACAGGAGGACCAGGGGATGATCCAACAGTGACCCAAAGGCCAGAAAAGGTGCTAGAAGCTGCCAGGTCAGGTGCTGGGTCTGCGGCTCTGCTGAGGGTCCTTGGGGGAGACTGAGTGTGGGATCGAAAAGCATACAACCTTCCCGGTAAATGTCCTCCAGTTGCCAAGCTAGCAATTGCTTTTTTATGGGGCTCTGGCTTGTGGCTGCATCAGGTCAATGGGAGAATTGCAAACCAAGAGAGCTCAGCGGACACAGAAAGTCAATAGCTGCAGAGCGTCCCAGGAGCCACCAGCTCCTGCCCGCCTTTCTGCCTGCTCCACCAAGGCTGGGATTTTTCACACTCTCGGACTCCAGAGTCAACTAATGCGTCCGGACTCGCCTCCGCAATCCACACACACGAGGCCTCCCCTCCTGACGAGCTCGCTGGACCACCTGCGCTTGCCTCCACACTCCTGCATCCGCCTGGCAGGTGCCCTCCCCCACCACCTCTTCACGCCACCGCCTAGCGTCATGGCCTGAGGGGACCTCCACTGACGCGCCCCGCGCGCTGGCCGGACGAGCTGCGCACGCCACACGCAACGCAGCCCGTCCTCCTCGACTTTCACCTTCACCTCCCGCAGCACCCGGCCCTAGTCCGGGCCACGGTCACACGTGCACCTCCGGTCTCCAAATACGCCCAACAGGTGGCACCTGCCAGTCCTGCCCCCACACACACGTCTCCACCCCGCCCTGCCCCTCCACCTGCGCCCCTACAGTCCTTCGCCCGGTGACCCGCCCTGCAAAGCCTACCTTTGAGGTTCTGCGGATGGCCCCGCGGCGCTCGACTCGGGTTTCCCCGCGGCAGAGAGGGGCCACTGGAGAGGTTGTTACCCATGGCATCCGGCCCCGGGGCTCCGGCGCTGGCTAGCGGCAGGCGAAGCTGAGCAGCCGCCGAGGGGCTATGTGCAAGTGCGCGCGCCGGTGCGCGCCGCCGGGGGAGGGCCCTGGTGGGGCTGCGGCCGGGGGCGGGCGGGCCGCGCCTCTCCGCCCTCCCTGTCGCCGAGTCCTGCCCGTCGCCGCTGGCCTGGTGCTCTCCGGCTACCTGCCTCCCATGCCCCGAGCTGGGGGCGGAGGCCGCGGACGGGCCCCTGGGCCCGGACCGGCGGCACCCGGGGCTCCCCTCTCCCTGCGGCTGGCACTCGGGTTCCGGCAGGTGGCGGGCGGCACGGCGGCTTCGGCGCCCTCCCTCAGGGCCATAGAGTCAGGGCTCACGGTGCGGGCACTCGGCGGCTCGGCCGGGGGGCTCGGTCCCCGCCCGCGGGGACAGCGGCTGCTGCGACGTGCGTGGCGCCCTCCGGCCGAGAGCTGTGGGGGCTTCGAGGGGCGCGGGCTGTGCTGGGCGCCCCCGCCGTGGTTGTGTCTCCGCCGCCGCCGTGCTCGCGCACCCGCCCCCTGCCGGCCCCTCCGGCGACCGCGACCCCGGCCCCCTCGCCGTCTCCAGGAGGCCCGCGCTCCCGTTGCTATGGTGACAGCTGCGCCGGTGAATGAGCGTCTTAGTGACATGCGCGCGCCCGTTCTGCCAGATGTGGGTCGGGGACGCGCGGCGCGGGGTGGGCGGGGCCTGAGGCGCACTGGGGGGCGCCGCTCCGGGGCTGGGCCCGAGGAACCGTGCGGACTGCTTCTGGACCACAGGAAGGACACCTGGAAGCCGCGCCGAGTGCCCTGGGTACCAGGTCCGGGCAGCGCCCATCGCCTGCGATGGTATCCCAGCACCAGGTATAGGGCCTGGAGCGGCGCACCAAACGCAAGGAAAATAAATTAATGCAGGAGTGCGTGAGTGAACAAAGGAGCTGCGAGTAGAAACCCCAGCTCTCCACCTGCTCATCTCAGTCAGGCCCGAAGGGGATGCCCGCCCCCAGGACCGGATCAAACCTGGGAACAGTCTGAGGGACAGCGCTTGTGAGAACCACACTGACTCTGAAAGCAGTGGCTCTGCCCAGGCAGGTGGGATCTACACCCCACGGCGCTCAGAGAAGGATTCCTGGAGGAAGGAGCCTTGGCCAGAGCCTGTTCACATGACTGCGCCATCAGTGAGGCTCAGCTGGGCTACGGGGTGCTCTCGGAGGGAGAGGGAGTTACCTGCCCCGGACTGTCAGTTTCTGCCTGTGGAGTGCAGGTGGTGCTCCAGGTCCCTGCTCCCAGTCATGTCTCCTCCAGGTCACTGGTCTGGCTTCGACAATCCCAGTCCAGAGTCCAGCAAAGACACGGATGGGCAGTTGGCATCTCCTGCATCCTCTGCTGCAGGTTCTCTTCCCCACGTTTCTCTCCCTGATCAGGCAGAGTCAGTGTCCTGACTCTTGGGTCCAGTCAGTCCCTCAACCCCTGTCCACCCCTGCTTCATGTTCCTCATGTACATATGTCCTAGGAATTCATATAAAAGCAGCTCTCCCCCTTCCTGTCCTGTGCTTCCCCGGCTCCAGATCGTAAGTGCTGAGGGGATATCACAGGTGGTTCCCACTCACCATGGGGAATCCCTGGCACTGATAAACAGACGATCCCCGGCCTGCCCATAAAGAACTCTGGGAAGTCCCTTGGGTTGCACCCTTTGATGTCATCCTGTACACTCGAGCCCTGTGCTGTCCCTGGTGCCATACCCTTAAATGTCAGAAACACCCACCTGGCAAACTAGAAATATCTGTAACAATCACCTCTAGAGTCTGGGCAGAAAACAGCCCTGAGCCCCCAAGCCTGCAGCCTCTGGCTGCCCAGAGTCACAAGCAACCAGCCGGAGACATCTGGCAAGGCTGGCTGATTTATGGTCAGGATTGTCCCAAGACACACTCTCAGTGGGTGACTCTCCAGCAGAAATGCCCAGACTCTGGCCACACCATCCCCGCCCATCTGCACGCCCACACCCCTCAATGCAAGCACACACACTTACATGTGCCCTTACATCGAGGGAATGGACCTGCCTTTCACAAACTGGAGTAATGTGAGGAGCAGGGATGCAGCACAGCAGGATACAGCGACCCGGGGATGCCCTCATTCCAGGGTAGATTGCCAGTTCCGTTTCCTATCCAACTTCCTGCTGATGCCTCTCAGGAGGCAGTGGTGATGGCCCCCTCCTCCCATATGTGGCACCCAGTTGAAGTTCCAGGCACCTGGCTGCAGCCTGGCCCAGCCTTCACTGTTGCAGGCTTTGGGGGAGTGACCCAGCTGATGGAAGCAGTGTGTGTATGTGTGTGTGTGTGTCCCTGCACTCTGCCTTTCAAAGGGATGAAAAATAAACAAATTTTTAGGGCCCAGTGTGATGGCTCAGTAGTTAAAACCCTTACCTCACATATTCTAAGATCCCATATGGGTGCTGGCTTGTATCCTGGCTACTCCACTTTCCATCCATCTCCCTGCTTGTGGCCTGGGAAAGCAGTCTAGAGTGGCCCAAAGCCTTTGAGACCTCACCCCCCATGTAGGAGACCCAGAAGCAGCTTCGGGCTCCTGGCTTCAGATGAGCACAGCTCCAGCCATTGAGACCACTTGGGAAATGAATCAGTAGATAAAAGATCTATGAAAAACTGTCTTTCAATAAAAATAAACAAATATTTTTTAAAAATTTTTTCAAAGAATGAATATGGAGGCCGGTATTGTATTGTAGCAAGTAAATCTGCCACCTGCCACAATGGTATCCCATATAGGTGCCAATTCATGTCCCAGCTGCTTCACTTCTGATCCAGCATCCTACTACTGTGCCTGGGAAAGCAACAGAAGATGACCCAAATGTTTGAGCACCTGCACCCACGTGGAAGACCCAGAAAAAGCTGGCTCCTGCCTTTGTCTGGCTCAACGCTGGCCTAACCCTGTGGCCATATAGAAAGTAAACCAATGGATAAATGTTTCCTTCTCTGTCTCTCTGACTTTCAAAATAAATAATCTTACTTTTTAAAAACATTTGTTTTAATTGGAAAGGCAGATTTAGAGAGAAGGAGATACAGAGAGAAAGATCTTCAATCAGCTAGTTCACTCTCTAAGTGGCGGCAATGGCCAGAGCTGAGCCAATCTGAAACCAGGAGCCAGGAGCTTTTTCCAGGTGTCCCATGTAGGTGCAGAGTCCCAAAGCTTTGGGCCGTCCTCCACTGCTTTCCCAGGCCACAGTCAGGGAGTTGGATGGGAAGTGGAGCAGCTAGGACACAAACTGTCTCCCATATGGGGATCCACGCACATGCAAAGCAAGGATTTAGCTGCTGAGTCATCGTACTAGGCCCTAAATAAATCTTATAAAAAAATAGATCTACTTCGAACTGGGCTCCAGTCAGATGTTCTGGCAAAGAGGAAGCTGTTTAAACAAAGCCTGACTGCCAGGGGTGGCTGCATATGGCCCTAGTCCTTTTCTCTGTTCCACAGATTTGTCCTCTGGGAGGTAACCCCTGGACCCAGGACCAACTGGAAGATTTTCATAGCACCCTTCTTATCTTTAGGGCTCAAATCCCTTAGGACAAATACATTACAATATAGCACACCCCACACTAGATGTCATTTTCCTTATTTCTTCCTTTAAGATTTATTTATTTGGGCCCATCACCATAGCATAGCAATTAAAGTCCTTGCCTTGAATGTGCCAGGATCCCATATGGATGCCAGTTCTAATCCCGGCAGCCCCACTTCCCATCCAGCTCCCTGCTTGTGGCCTAGGAAAGAAGTCGAGGATGGCCCAAAGCCTTGGGACCCTGCACCAGTGTGGGAGACCTGGAAGAAGCTCCTGGCTCCTGGCTTTGGATTGGCTCAGTTCCAGCCATTGCGGCTCCTTGGAGAGTGAACCATAGGACAAAAGATCTTCCTCTCTGCCTCTCCTCCATCTCTGTATATCTGCTTTTCCAATAAAAAGAGGCAGAATTATACATACAGAGAATGATCTTCCATCCGCTCCCCAAACGAATGCAAAGCCAGAGGTCAGGAGCTTCCTCCAGGTCTCCCATACAGGTGCAGGAACCCAAACATCTACATCATATTCCTCATTTTTCTCCATGTGCATTAGCAGGGAGCTGGATAGAAAGTGGTGCAGGCAACAGGCAGCAGCAGCTCAACCTGATGTGCCAAAGCTCCAACCCCAAAGCACAGTTTTCTTGTCTTTAAGATTTCAAAGGGGTTTTTACAAACTTGGCATTTTGAGTCCTGAGACTGCTGGGAACTCACTGAATTTACACTGGCTTAATTTCAGCACACACACATACTGGATTTCCTGCCAAATGATAAGAATCTGCACCCATTTTCTACATAATGAAATCTTTATAAGCACCATAGAGAATGATGACAGTAGATACATCATTCACTGTTTAGGTCTCCAGGCAAACACTGGTTAATTTCAAAATTTCCCCTAAGAGCCAGACATGAATTTTTTTTGTTTATTTTTTTGCCCCGGTCTCATGTAGGTCCTTACAAAGCCTGCAGTGGCCTGGGTAAAATCTCAGCCTGTGTGAGAGCACTCCCAGTGGGACTTCGGATAGTGCAGAGAGCCATGCAAAAAGCAAAAAGCAAAATGCAAAATGCCAGTGTCAAAAAGAGACGGCCAGCTTGGGGGTCTGCCATGCTTCCAAGGGCAGCGCCTACAACCCATCCAAGGCCACTTGTTCATGTCACAGTGACAGGTGACATTCATGCAGCATTCTCTCTGTACCAGGCCTTGGGTGAAGGACTTAGCAACAGTCCACTCAAGTCTGGAAGCAACCTCATGAAGTAGGTACTACTACTATCATTACTATTATTTCAATTATCATTCCAATTTTTCCATAAAAATTCTTTTTTCTTTTCAAAGATGTTTGGAGCCCGGCACGATAGTGTAGTGGTTAAAGTCCTCACCTTGCATGCCCGGGATCCCATATGGGCGCCGGTTCTAATCCCAGTGGCCCGGCTTCCCATCCAGCTCCCTGACTGTGGCCTGGGAAAGCAGTTGAGGACAGCCCAAATCCTTGGGACCCTGCACCCACGTGGGAGACCCAGAAGAGCTCCTGGCTCCTGGCTTTGGATTGGCTCAGCTCCAGCCATTGCACTCACTTGGGGAGTGAACCATTGGACAGAAGATCTTCCTCTCTGTCTCTCCTCTCTGTATATCCTCCTTTTCAATAAAAATAAATAAATCTTTAAAAATAAATCTGAAAAAAAGAAAGGAGGAAAGAGAGAAAAGAAGCTACACTACAGGGCCAGCACAGTGCTAAAGCAAGCTAATCCTCCCCCTGTGGCACCAGCATCCCATATGGGTGCCAGCTTGTGCCCCAGCTGCTCCACTTCCAATCCAGTTCCCTGCTGACTACCTGGGGAAACAGCAGGACTGCTCAAATATTTGGGTCACTGCACCCACGCGGAAGAGAGGAAACTCCTGGCTTTGAACTGTCCCAGTTATGGCTTGTAGCAATTTGGGGAGTGAACCAATGAAGGGAAGATAATTGGGTGTGGATGCGTGTGTCTCTCCTTCTCTTTGCCTTGCAAGTAAATAACTCTCAATCAAATTTTTTTAATTAAATAAATTAATTAAAGTTTAGAAAATTAAAATGTGGGTGCCCGGCATGATAACCTAGCAGCTAAAGTCCTCACCTTGCACGCACCAGGATCCCACATAGGCGCCAGTTCTAATCCCAGTGGTCCCACTTCCCATCCAGCTCCCTGCTTGTGGCCTGGGAAAGCAGTCGAGGATGGCCGAAAGCCTTGGGACCCTGCACCCATGTGGGAGACCTGGAAGAAGTTCCTGGCTTCCGATTGACCCAGCTCCAGCTGTTGTGACCATTCGAGGAGTGAACAAGAGGATGGAAGATCTTTTATTCTGCCCTTCTCTCTGTAAATTTGCCTTTCTTAAAACAATAAATGCTCTTAAGTTTTTTAATGTATTTCTAAAGAGGCCTGCAGCTTGGGGAATCCTGTTTTCCCAATGAAGCTGACAAAGCTTTCTCTCATTATGAAGCCCTGGAGTCCCACAACAGCCTCCACAATCCCTCTCACGTGCTCAGATCACCACTAGGTGGCAGCAGAACCTAATTAAAATCACCTTTATGGCCGGGGGAAAGGGTCCAGAGAACCTCAAGCCCATCAACATCTTTAAAAAACATTCCTAGTTGCTCTTTTCTGATTACCAGTGGAGGTCAACAGCTTAAAGAACCTCTTAGGATGCCCATATCTCGTATTGGAATGCCTGCGTTTGATCCAGCTCTGCTTCTGATCCAGTTTCCTGCTGATACACATCCTGGGTGACAGCAAGGGACAGCTCAAGTACTTGAGCTCGAGGGGTTCATTGTATTGTAGCAGGTTAAGCCCCTGCCTGTGATGCAGGCATTCTACGTGGTTCGAGATCCAGTTGCTCCAATTCTGACCCAGCTCCCTGCTAATGTACCTGGGAAATCAGCAAAAGATAGCCCAATTGCTTGGGCCCCAGCACCACATGGGAGACTCAAATGAAGCTCCTGGCTCCTGGCTTTGGTTTGGTCTAGCCCTACCCACTGGGGCCATTTGGGGAGTGACCCAGCAGATAGTAGATTTTTCATTCTCTGTCTCTCCTTCTCTGTCTCTGCAACTGTGGCTTTCAAATAAATATCTTTTTTTTTTTAAGCACTTGGATCTCTGCCACCCACAGACTCAAGGGGCACTGGGGAAGATGTTTAGTGACATTTTTCCCAGACCCTCTCATCATGGAACCTTTCCCTGATCTCCCACAGCAGACCAGACCTCATGTGTGGCACCAGCAGGCTCCCAGCCCCCACCAGGCAAGTCCAGACCCTGAGCTCCAGGAATGCGAGCCCCAGCCCATACTGACACACTGGGATGGCAGGATCATATGGGCCTGCACTGCCTCCTTTCATGATTTATTTTTTTTAAAGATTTATTTATTTTTATTGAAAAATCAGACTTGCAGAGAAGGAAAAGCAGAGAGAAAGATCTTTCATCCACTGCTTTGCTACCCAAGCAGCTGCAATGGCCAGAGCTGAGCCCATTGGAAGCCAGGAGCCAGGAACTTCCTCTGGGTCTCCCATGTGGGTTCAGCCACCCAAGGCTTTGGGCTCTCCTCGACTGCTTTCCCAGGCCATTAGCAGGGAGCAGTTGGGAAGTAGAGCATCTTGGACATGAACCAGCATCCATATAGGATCCTGGTGCATGCAAGGCAAAGGACTTAGCCACTAGGCTACTGTTCCAGGTCTAGGTTTTCATACTCAAGGATTAAAATATCTTCACTCATCCTTTTTTTCAACTTTTTTCCCCACCAAAACAAACTAGTCTTTTATTTCTGTTTTGCCACAAGTTTTTTGAAGCACTCAGGCATGTGTTGCACAAGCTGGCATGGGTACATACAACACTCACAGAGGGCAGAGCAGATGCTTCCAGCAGGGGGCGCCATACATACACCTTTGGGTCACAGGAACCCTCGGGGTTAGTCCTACCTGGGAGCAGTGGCTTCCGGCTGGAGCTGTGTGTGACTTGACAGAAATCACATCCACGCCGCTTCCTGCTCTTCCTCTGGTGGGTCCACAGCACCAGAGCCCACACACTTGTCCTGCAACCTAAGACAGCCTTGTCAGCAGGCAGGAAAGCTGCTGGGGCTGCAGGGCCTGCTGATCACGTGGACAGGGCCTGGTGATCACGTGATTGGTGCTGGTGGTCCTTGCAGCCACTTGGGGAGTGAATCACTGGGCAGAAGATCTTCCTCTCACTTTTCTCCTCTTTTCTGTGTCTGACTTTCAATCAAAATAAAATAACATTTCTTTTAAAAAAAGGAATAAAAGGTCCGAATTTGGTAGTCAGAACAAATATATGACATGAAATAAGTTGAGGAACGCTGTAGCGTTGGATCGGAAGTACAGCTGAACTTGTCAAGTGACCAAACCCTCATTTCACAAGTGCAGAGCAGCCTTAGGCCAGCCTAAACAATACCATCAGGGAGGTGAAGATGCTTTTCAGAGCCACTTAGAGCAGAAGAGGAAGGGGACAGATTTTGAGGGAAGGCACCTTCAGGAGGAAGCTGCTCAGCGCACTGGCCTGCTGCTGGTTGCCTGGGGAAGAGCGGCTCTCCTTAGACCCCCTCAGAACAACCTGCGCTCCCTTCCCGGAGTTCTCAACCCAAAGAGGCCCTCCCTCTTGCTCCCTTCCCCTCTCAACAACTGATTCATTCTTCTTTCATTTTGGGAGTCTTCCTTTCTTCTTCAACACGAGGAACACAAGGATATATCCTTTCTGTAAATTACAAATAATGTGAAAGAATACACAGAGACATAACAATTTCATTGCCACGCTCTCTTCCGTAAGAGGGAGAAGGGTCTCCCGGCCACGAGGGGGCAGTACCGGGAAGGTGCACTGCTTCCTCCCACCCCCCCACCCCCACCGCTGGCAGTCTGGATGGAGGACAGTGCCAGGTGGTGAACTCTATGCCCAGTCAGCCGGGAGCCCGGGGGAACCTGCGGTTCTTGACTTTGAGGAGGGATGGAGAGGAAGGCTTGCCAAAGTGTTCCCTGTCTCCAAATGGACTTAGTCCCATGATGGGAGACAAACACCTACAGAGAACCACAGAGAGAACTCCAGCTGGGAGCGCCTCCTTCTGCCTCAGGTGAATCAAGCGGGGGACCAGGCTGGCTGGGAGAACCGCCTAGGCAAAGGAGCCCGGGTGTGGGGTCGGTGGGGGTGGACAAGGAAGGTGAAGAAAGGGCTTGTGCATCTGCAATGAGTAGAACGTTGCTCCATCACAGGTTCCGTGCTGAGCACTTTGGACTCTGAGTCTGGCAAGCCAAGTTCAAGTCTCAGTGGGCCATTTCTGTCAGCTGCAGCTCAAGCTTTTTTGTTTTACTTCTTTGTCATTCGGTTCCTTTCCCCTCCCTCCACCCCCCCGCGGCTCCTGAGGTCTCTCAGCCTTGTACCCCGCTTGCCCGGTCACCCCCTCAGGAGTAGAGGGCTCCCAAGCGGCCGTGACCCTCTGGGAAATCGCCCTCACAAGGGATCGGGTGGCTAATATGGGGTGTCGCAGGTGTCCGAGTCCAAGACCGGGTCCCACCGCCAACACTCCTGGGCTTAGCTGAGTCAGGTGTGTTTCTGATCAAGGGCAGACAACCCCCAGCTTTTATCAACACCCATCAGTGCTGAGTTGATCACACCCAGAATTTTCCTGTTCCAAGGAAGTCCCACTGACAATCTGGCCTGAATAAATGTAGGCCCTAAAGAGGAGAAGGCTGGGCTGGGGAGAGGTGGAGCGAGAGGGCGGGGCCCATTTGCCTAGGGATGCTTGGACTGGCAGCCGGTCACAGGCCAGTGACGTGTCCACCAGGGGCAGAGGAGAGTAGCAGTGGGGACACTTTTGGGCGATTGGCTGAGCACGGACACCTTCTCTGGAGAGAGCCTGCCTCTGCTTTTAGCCCTTGGCCTCAGAGACAGGTTTGGAAGACCATCAGGAGAGTGCCTCCTGCAGACCCCAGGCTCCCCACCCGGTGTGGCCTGTCCCTGGCCAGGAAAGCAGCCCCAGCCTCACCACCCGGCCGATGACTGCTCAGCGGAGCCATGGATAAGTTCCGCATGCTCTTCCAGCACCTGCAGTCCAGCTCAGAGTCAGTGATGAATGGCGTCTGTCTGCTGCTAGCTGCAATCACGGTCAAGCTATACACCTCCTTTGATTTCAACTGCCCCTGCCTGGCACGCTACAATGCCCTCTATGGCCTGGGCCTGCTGCTCACACCCCCGCTGGCCCTCTTCCTCTGCGGCCTCCTGGCCAACCGGCAGTCCGTGGTGATGGTGGAGGAATGGCTCCGGCCCACTGGGCACCGCAGGAAGGACCCAGGCATCATCAGGTTAGCTCTGGCCCCACGCCACCCCATGGATGCAGCCAGGGGCATCCCAACCCCATCTATCCCACAGGCACTGCCAGGTGTGCCCTTCCTGCCCCCCCCCGTGGCAATCATCAGCCCAGAGGCCAATTTGCCAGTGTCCCTTGGACCAGGGCTTTCTGTCCCTGTCACTTGCCACCTTTTCATGGCTGGAGCTGTGAGCATAGGAATTGCCCAGGCCACGTCTTTGCTGAGAGTCAAGATGTAATGCATGCGTGAACGGCCATCCACGGCAAGCATGTCACAGTCTAATAAAGGCCTTGGTGAACCTAATGTGACTGAAAGATGAGTTTCCTCTTCCACCTCCTAGCCACATTGTCCTCCATGGAAAATGCTGGAGCGACCACTACCCACTGACCACTCACCCCTGAGCAGGGCATGTGCATGCGGCCAGCTGCAAACAGCAGCTGCCTCCCGTGTAGACGCAACCTCAGCCACACAATCTCAGGGACTGATGCAGTCTGTGATACAGCCCCATGGGGTGCTCACATGCACTGAGATTATGTAGGCACGGCTCCGCTAAGCTCCTGTTCCAAGTTGGTGAGGTAAGGTACCCGAGGCCTGTGAGAGGGCAGGGTGGGCTACCTGGACGTGGGCAGAAGGGCTGGGGGTAGAGCTGCTGCCTCGGCAGGAGGTACTGGCTGGAGCTCTGGGTTTAGGCTCAGAGAGGATGTGACAGTGAACGACTAAGAGTGCAGAGAAGCTCTTAGAGTTGGCCCCCTGGGTGCTGGGTGTTTGTGCACCAGCCACTAGTCTTGGGATGAAAGCTGGTTTGGGTCACCTCCCCCAGCTTGGCAGGGAATCCTCTGGGAGCTTGGGATGCTCAGACTGTCCACACCAACAGGACAATCCATCAGTGCAGCACCTAGCTCTGGACCTAGGCAGGTCCACTGCAGACCCAGAGCACGAATCTCCTCAGCATCCTGGTGCCAGCAGTCTTAGGGACCCCCTCTTCACTGGGGTACAGAGGTCTCCATAGAGAGCTGCAGTCCCTACTTAGCCACAACTTCGTCCAGAGTTTTGCCCAGCCCTCCTGGACAGTCCACGCTGGCCGCTCCCAGTCCTTCCTGCCAAGGCTGATTCCCAGCCCTCAGGAGCCCTCTCTCTCCTCTCCCGGTCAGGTACATGTGTTCCTCTGTGCTACAGAGGGCGCTGGCTGCCCCCCTCGTCTGGATCCTGCTGGCCCTCCTGGATGGGAAATGCTTCGTGTGTGCCTTCAGCAGTTCTGTGGACCCCGAGAAGTTTCTGGACTTTGCCAACATGACCCCCAGCCAGGTGCAGCTCTTCCTGGCCAAGATACCCTGCAAGGAGGATGAGCTGGTCAGGGACAGCCCTGCCCGAAAGGCAGTGGCTCGCTACTTACGGTGCCTATCACAGGTAAGTACGGGTGGTCCTCCCCAGCCCACACACTTTCCCAGATAGGCTGGGGCATGGAAGAATCAAGGATTAGCCCATGCATGCACAAAGAACAGAAGGCTCCATGGCTGGAGGGAGCTGGAGGAGCACAGTTCTTGACACTGACTCATGGCAGGACACGGAACAGATGCCCATCCTCTTTCAGGAGGCAGTAAGCCCAACCCCTGCCCCAGCCCTTACCCCATACATACTCTTCCCAAACACACTCATCCTTCCCACCTGAGTTAGCCATGACCACTTATTGACCCAACTCCTCTGCTCCACCACCACATGCTTGCTCCAGGTCTTGCAGTGGCCTTTGAAGAGCTTGGAGCTTTGCGCAGAAAGAAAGAGCAAGAGGGGTGGCCTCTGGCCTTTGAGAGCTGCTTCCAGTTTTTCTTTTTCTTGGGCCGGAACAGCATTTCCCCCTCCTATTCCTCACTCGCTTCCACCACCAAAAGAAGTAGGGATGCCTGCCTAGATAGGAAGGTGGATGGGAGGAAGGGACGTAAAGAGTGGGTAGGTGGAAGGGCGAATGGATTGCTGGGATAGATAAATAGAAGGTAGGATGGGAGCATGGAAGCAGGAATGGAGGGAGGGAGATGGATGCTAAGGGGGTGGATAATTGACAAAAGGAGGGTTGGGAGGATGGCTGGATGGGAAAATGATGATCAGGTGTCCTGTGAGAGGATGGATAGCGGCACGGACAGATGAACAGAGGCAAGGGTGTGAGAATGAATGTGAGGAAGGATGGATAAGAGGATGGTTGGCAGGTGAGAATCGGAAGTGGGTGGAAAGGATAAGGAGCAGGAGCATGGTGGAGTTGCCCCTGGAGCCCCGCCCTCCGCGGACCTGTGCCTCCCCTCACCACAGGCCATCGGCTGGAGCCTCACCCTGCTGCTGATCCTCTCAGCCTTCCTGGCCCGCTGCCTAAGGCCTTGCTTCGACCAGACAGTCTTCCTGCAGCGCCGATACTGGAGCAACTACGTGGACCTGGAGCAGAAGCTCTTCGATGAGACGTGCTGTGAGCACGCGCGGGACTTCGCCCACCGTTGCGTACTGCACTTCTTCGCCAGCATGCAGAGCGAGCTGCGAGCGCGCGGGCTGCGCCAGGTCCCAGTCGCAGCCGCAGCAGCCACCACCGCCGGAAGCCCAGAAGGTCCGGAAGCCCTGGCCGGTGGCAGTGAGAAGGCCCACCTGCGCGCCGTGTGCAGCCGGGAACAGGTGGACCAACTCCTAAGCAGGTGGTACTCCAGCAAGCCACCACTCGACCTCTCGGCGCCTCCGGGACTGTGGGCTGCTGGCCTCAACCACCGTGCCCTAGTTGGGGCCACTAGCGCCAGGCCCTCTCCAAACATGGATGTGTAGTGCCTGGCCCAGGCCTGCCGCGATTCGCGTGAAGCCCCTAGGACTTTACCCAGATGACCTAGTCTGCCTTTTGCAAACCTTAACATGGATGCGCTGCACCTGAGCGCAGCATACAGTTTGTAAGTCAGAGCGCCCCCACGCTGGGCCCCGGGGTCTGCATCTCTAACTAGTTCCCAAGTAAAACAGATGCTTCCCGTGAGGGAGCCAAACGGACCTACCACAGTCAATGCTAAGTATGCTAAGTAATAACGAGGTGGGGCCCGGCGCGGTGGCCTAGCGCCCGGCCAAAGTCCTCTCCTTGAACGCGCCAGGATCCCATATGAGCGCCGGTTCTAGTCCCAGCAACCCCACTTCCCATTTAGTTCCCTGCTTGTGGCCTGGGAAAGCAGTTGAGGAGGGCCCAACGGCCATTGTGGTCCTTTGGGGAGTGAAGATTTTCCTCTCTGTATATCTGATTTTGTAATAAAAATAAGTAAATCTTTAAAAGAAAATGAGGTGGAAGCTTCCAGCTTCTCCCCATAGATTAAAATCAGTTCTCATAATCTAGTGCAGGCTGTATGATTATTACTCCAAGTTTTTAGAATGGAAAACTCTAGACCTGGCTTTTGCACCTGCCTTCTGGATAGTTCTGTTTGTTGTCAATGCCTTCACTGGGTGTCCAGAAGCTTCCACCAAGACCTTTCTGATAAATTCTAGCAAGTTCAACAAGTTCCTCTCAAAAACATTAGTTAATGCTTCTGGAGGGCCACCACAGGCAGAAAGCTTTGTAGATTCCCACCTCCACCCCCAGCCTGTGGGGGGAGGGGGTAATGATTTTGTGTCTGAATGTCAAGGGCGCTGATCCCTCCAAGCCGCTTCTTGCCCAAGTCCACCACTTCTTTTTTTTATTTTTATTTTTAATTTTATTTTTGACAATCTTTACATAGTTAATTAGGGCACAGGGTTCAAGGGCTGCAGGAAACTGGGTAAGACTATGATTTCCACATTTTTTCTATATCGGGGGCAAAAGGGGAGGTAAAGAGTGAAGCCCCACCCAGTCTCCCACCCACCCATCCCAGGTCCCCGATGTGGGGCATGCTCTGAGGATCTTGCTCAAGTGGTTTTGATAGTTCAACAGTTATGAATTGCTGCCCATCTCGCCATTGCAAGCATAAAGAAATCGCTGCAGAATCCACTGGTTGGCATAGTTCATCTTAGAGTCTCCGTTTGCTCTGTTTTTCACTGCCAAAATATGGCTAGGGCATTTGATTGATTTGTTCTGTCCTCTGTATTTTCTTGGTTAGGGATCTGAGTCCGGCAGTTCAATTGAGTGGATCCCTAAAGAAACTTTGTCTGAGGTGAACCCAGACCAGTTTCTTGTGTCCTTGCAAGTACGGGGCCTGGTACAGTCCATCACCCAATCAGCTGGTGGTTGCAATTGTTGGGTCGGTTCTGTTTCCAGCCCTGTCTTCCACTGGAACCAATGGGTGTTGCAGTCCAGCCTGATTCTGCCCAGCACACACTTGGCCCTCACTTAAACCAGGTCCACCCCTTCTACACCTAGCCTTGCCCAGCCTCGTTTCTCAGATCAGCTGTCTGCTCTCCTGCTATCCCCAGCCCTGACAGCCTCATACAGTCCCTTGCTTAGGCGTTCCCAGGGATATTTGCTGCCTGCCACCTCTGATGGCACCTGGTGAGCCTAGCACCAGAACCAGGAATGGATGCAGAATAAAAAACCCAAAAACGCTGGGGACTTGCCAACCAGTCTCCGGCTGCCTCCACAGGAAGGGTTTGGGGAAGATTTAGCCTCTGCCCTCCCCTGATGACTCATCCGCCACACACATCCGGCGTGCTCTCCCTTGCCCATCCAGCACGAATGGTGGTCACAGTCAGGCAGTGCTGGGCTCACTCTGGCTTTTCTACTTCCTCAGAGCCTTGTGGGCAGTGCAGGGGCCCCTGGGTGACCCCGGCAGCCCAGCCACCTCTGTCAGGCCATCTTTGCTCTCCTGGGTTCTTCTCAAGGACCCTTTGAGACCAGAAAAATCCCTGCATCCTGGCTTGGCCCCAAGGGTGGATTGTGGGCAGGCCATGCAAATGTCTGAGGCAGGGCACCATTTAGGCAAATGATTAGCAATGATTGGGTGCAGAGGGAGAGGGTAAACTTTGGAGATGGTCCAGCACCCAGCATGTGCAAAGGAGGCCCCTGAACCGTGCTGTGAGCTCCAAGGAAACAGCTCACTTATAAAAAGCCACCACCTGCCTTTTAAGTCTCCTACTGAGCATTGCCTAGGAAGCTAGCAGTCCAGGCATAGAGGAAATCCACAGATGGCCTGCCCATGACCCCCAGGAGGACTGTCTATTAAGGAGACAGAGATGGGAACAGAATTTATTATGATCTTTGTATACCAGGGGCAAGCCATATACCTTGGGTTGAGCAGAGAGATTAGAGCTCCAAGTTGCAAGATCAGAGGTTTCAGGGTGGAAGTGCCACCAGAATGGGTCTTGAAGGGTGGGGAAGGTTTCGACAAGTGGAAAGAGAAGTGTGAAGAGGATGCAGAGCATCTAAAGGAAGGAAGGAAGGGAGAACAGAGGCCTAGCCTCGGGCCAGGGGCGCTGCAGACTTCTCTCATGAAAAAGTTTTCTCATGAAACAGTTACTTTCTGAATGCCTCAAGTGCCCAGAGCAAAACAGACCTCATTTTTTTTCTTATATTTACTTGTGAATCAGATTTTAAAAGAGAAAGGAAAGACAGAGACTTTCTCCATCTGCTGATTCCTTCCCCAAATGACCACAACAGCCAGACCTGAGCCAATCCAAAACCAAAGCCAGGAGCTTCCTCTGGGTCTCCCCATGGTTGCAGAGGCTCAAGGACCTGAGCCATCTGTTGCTGCTTTCCCAAGTCATATGCAGGAAGCTAGATCAGAAGTAGAATAGCCAGAACTCAAACCACGGGCACCACAGATAGAGGATTAGCTTGTTATGCCACCATACTGGCCCCAAGACCTTGTCCTATCTTAATGGAGCTTCCAATCTGGAAGGGAAGATAGGCTGATGGCAAGGGAGCAGCCAGCCCAAGGCAGCGTGCACCATGCAAGCTGGCAGGAGTGGAAAATCAGCTGGAGGGCCAGCCAGCTCCAGCCTCCCCGCCTCCATCCCATCCTGTAGGCAAAGCCCCTTCTGGGAGACACAGAGGCAACTTGGAGAGGTCAGGAAGCGCTGAAAATAAGGGCTTTGGCTGCACAAAGTTCCCCGCCTGCAGCCTGGGCAGCTGCAGTCCCATCTCTGCCAGGTCTGCAGGAGCCTCGGGCGGTTGACTCAGGACCCTGACTTTGCCCTGCAGTTAGATAGGTTGGGGGGAAGAGGGAGAAGGGAGAGGCCTGGGTGTGGTGTTTCTGACTCCTGACTTTGGCTTGAATCAACTCCAACCTCTCTGGTCTTTTGGGGAATGAACCAGCATATGGAAGATATCTTTTTCTGTCACTCTGCTTTTCAGATAAATAAATCTTTAAGAGAGAGACAGAGAGAGGCAGGAGTGCCGAGGAGGAAGGGTGGGGCACAGAGGCACGGGTGATGCTTCTGGGCTCAGCTTCACAGAGAAGAAAAAAGCAGGGAAAATGAACAGGGGTGGGGTTAAAGTTGTGTGCCAGAATGTAGTCCCATGGCCCCAAATCCCTGGAATGGAGGCTGAGCTTTGTAAGAAATATGGTTACATTATGAGTGAGCACTGCAATTTTGTCACAAAATATTGTTCCCAGTATGGCTCGGCTGGTGCAACAGGAAGCTATGGTTTGAAGGGGGCTTGTTCCCTCCTAAGCTCACATTAAAATCTGGGAGATGACCAGGCCAATGCTTTCAGGAGTGGATTCAGCCAGCCAGCCAATTCACTGATGAACCAGTGAATGGGTTATCTTGAGTCTGCATAAGGGCTGTCTTGGCTGGGTCTCTTGCACTCTCCTTGGCTCCAGCACTTTCTGTGATGTCCTGTGATGCTCCTAGACTCTGCCAGCAGGAAGGTCAGCGCCAGATGGGGGCCCTTGACCCTGGACCAGAAGCGTGAGCACATACCAACATTTTTTCTCCACAACTCACACTCTCCATGGTATTGTGTTCTTAGCAACAGAAAACAGACCAAGACACACTGGGAGTGTTTTTACAACTCTGCTAACCCGGCCTGGCCAATTTGGGTTGCTTGGACAGCTACATCCCGCTCTGGGCTCTGGTCTCGCCTACTGCCCTGGTCCCTGGAGGCTCTGGCAGCTGCTGGTTGGTGCAGCACCCCACCTTCCCTGCCCTTCACCCCCAACACCAGACCACTACACACACTGTCCTAGGCAAATTGGGTATTTCCCTAAAGGCACAGCACCTGCAAGGGGGAGGGAGCAGGACATTTGCATGCTGTTTTTCATACCACTCCTAACTCCTGAAAGCCGGAGGGGAGCGCAGAGTCAAGTTTATGTTTCAGTGATCCCTGGCCATGGGATGGTTGCTAGGACAATGCAATGAGACTAGAAGGCCAAGGTTGGGCACGTGGCACGGGGGTGACTAGGGGTGAGACTTCCCCCACATGAACAGAGCTTTGAGTCCTTTACATCCATGCCTTCTCATGACCTAGGAATTACAGAGCAGAGAGAACCAGATCCAAGATTGCTAAATGCCCCACCAAATTGCCTGCAATACTTGGAGCTGGACTAAAGTTCTTGAGCCAGCTGCTTCCTGGGTACATTAGCAGCAGGCTGGATCAGAAGCAGGGCAGCCAGGACTGCAAAGACATTCTAAAACGGGATGCTCATGTTGTAAGCCAGGACTTAAGGCAGTGCCCAACCCATCAGGCTTCTCTTACCTACTTGGAAACATGGTTTCTGACAAGAAAGATACTGGGCTGTGCAGTGGAAGACTCCCTGGGTGCTTGGGCAGGGTCTAAAGTGGACTTGGGGACAGGGAGGAGATAACAGAACTCCAGGACAGGAAAAGCTCGGGGCAGGTTGGGGTGGTATGCAAGAAGCTGAGAACAAAATCCCATAGGCTGGGCTGCTTTCACAGCAGCTGCCTGCTCACAGTTCTGTGGCTGTAACTGCTGGACCTGGGTGCCAGCAGGGCTGGGTTCTGTTGGGTCCTGCTTCCTGGCAATAGGTGGCTACCTTCTAGCTACATCCTCAGCGACAGAGTAAGAACCAGAGAGTTTTCTGGAGTCATTTTTATAAGGGCACCAAGTCTGATGACCTGGTCACCTACTAGGGCCATCACTCTAGGGGTTAGGACTTCAACCAGGAGCCAGAATAAGACACGAGTGTTCGGTCCCCAGTTTCCGGTAAGCCCCGTGTCCCGTAAGTGTCACAGAGAGGAAGACTATGTGGCCTCAGCTGGTGCTCCTGTGGGCAGACTCCCCCCCCCCTGAGAGGCACCCAGCAGGTGGACACACCACCACCCAGCATGTGAGCACACCACCACCCAGCATGTGAGCAGTGACAACGCTGATTGATCACATCAATCACAGAGCCTGTGAGAAGAAACAGGAAGTGAAACATCTAAACTTTCTGTGTCTTGAGTGCTGATGACCAGGAAAAGGAAATACAGAGTGTTAGGGGAGCAGTCATTGCTGAATTTTTAGAAAACATTCAATGAATGTTTCGCCTCTTAAAATAAGAAATTTGAGCTTGTTTTGGTGAATACAACTTTTAGTTCTTTTTCGTGGCGTCAAACGACTATGAGCAATTCCCACTGAACATTTTAAAAAGGTGAAAGTGGAATATGTTAACCAACCAAGTTTACTGACCCCCATATCCCCTATCAGAGGGCTTGGGTTCAAGTCCCAGCCCCAGTTTTGATTCCAATTTCCTGCTAATGTGCACCGTGGGAGATAGCTGTATTGGTTTAAGTACTTGGGTCCCGACCACCTACAGGTGATACCAATGGAGTTTGGTAGATATCATCTGTAGGTGGTGGGGACCCAAGATTATATATATATATATAATCACCTGTATAAATATATATATAATTGAAAAGTCCGAAATACAGAGAGGAGGAGCAAAAGGAAGAAATTCTGTCTGATGACTCACTCCCCAAATGGCCACAACGGCCAGAGCTCAGCTGATTCGAAGCCAGCAGCCTGGAGCCTCCTCCAGGTCTCCCACTCAGGTGCAGGGTCCCTTAGCCACTAGGCTACCACACCAGGCCCCCAATCCTTAGTCTTTAAAAGTCTTTTTGCTGTTAATAAACTTTGGCTATTGACCATCAGTCAGTAGTCCATGTATATGATTTTCAATTCCAGACACCAGTCCCTCACTGCTGGACAATGAACATGAAGCATCTCTCTCTGTCTCTCGTTGCCTTTAAATAATAATAATTTAAAAGGTCAATCAAGTAGGTGGTAAATTTAGAATGGGTTTTCACAAATACCCAACATCCTACAACAGTTCCAATGGTGCTCACAGACATCAGCTGCCCTATACTTTTGGTGACGATTGTAGACAAAACTCTTGGCACTATAGAATGATGGATTTATAATCTAACGAAATTGTGTTATGTCAAGCTGCTGCAGGAGGAGTGGAGCACGCGTGTGTGGTCAGAGCAGGCTCCTACAGCCAGTTCAGGCCCCACTCCATGTCCCTAGGATCTATTGACCAACCCTCCAATGTCGTTGCTACAGACCCACCTGTGTTAGACCCTGAAACTTTGACACTTGCCACTTCTCTAAGGTGGCTGGCTCCCCGCCACCTCCAGGAGTCCCACTTGCTCTCACACCCAAGAGCCAGCTGCCAGGCTGAGGGATTGTTGAGGGCTCCTATAAGCTGTCTGTGATGGTGTTTTATTGGCTGCTATAAGCTGTGTGTCTCCTGAAATTGCCTTGTAAATCTGCTTACCTGAGATACATTGTGAGCCTCCCTTATAACTCTGACCCTGCTGGTTTAGGGTACAAAAAGAGGGGAAAGGCAAAGGATCAGGACCTGACTCTTGGGACAGGAATCCAGTCAAGTCCGCCTGCATAAATAGAAGTGCCCCCAGGCTGTGTGCCAAGCTGTTGTCATGCAAACATGTCCGGCAGTGCAGTAGACAAGATCTCCCTCAGCCTGTGTGTTCCCCTGGGGGTGCCTGCCCTGTGTGTTTCCCTGGGAGTGCCAGCCCTGTGTTTACCCCTGGGGGCTGGCCCAGGTCCTGGCTCACAGCTGCTCTCTAGTTGTGTCCTACTCATGACACCCCACCCCGGCGAGGGGAGCAGGAGCCACTGCCCCATCTCTTCGCCTCTCCCCACACTTGAAAGGGCTGGTCTGGGTTCAGGTGCCATGCCTCCAGCTGTAAGCCAGGTAGTCTTCAGTTAGTAAGCTCTTTGAACCTCAGTCCCAGTTCCATAAAATAGGGCCTGTGATATGCATCCCATTAGATAGTCTGAAGCTTCTAGGAGGTACTCCGTGTGAGGTGCTCAGCGCATGGCTCTTCTCTGGGCAGCCCAGGATCCTGCAGTGGCTGTCAATCTTAGAGACACATCAAGACTTGAGTGCAGTTACACAACACACACACACAGACCCTCGCAGTGACAGCCAGCTCACACACGGGCTTGTTTCAGGGAACACAGCCTCAGCTTCAGACCCACCCTCTGGTGACAGACAGGAGCCATCCAGTTGGAGCTGGGTCTGACCTGCCCCTCGTGGGAGAGCTGGGCATCAAAGCAAGTCCTTGAAGCCTTTCCCATTTGATGAGTGCATGGCAGGACGGGAGTGGGGCTGCTTTGCTTTCCACAGACTAAGCAAACTCAGCACCAGGTGTCAAGCCCTACTCCTTGCCTTTTGCATCTAAAAGAACAAATGGAGGCATTTGGGGCCAGTCAGGAAAGTGCTTGCCTTGCGCAGCCCATGACACACAGACATACACAGACAGGTTGAACACAAAGGCACCTGCTCAGCAACCTGGGAAATATGAATCTTTCCACTCCCACTCCAGGTGTACTTGCTACCAAGCTGGCTTGAGCACAGTTTCCCACTGCTATCAGCAGCAGCGGCAGCCTTCTGTAGCCACCGCATCGATGCCATCACTATACCCATATGTCTCAGCTGATGGAGAAGGTCCTGGCATAGCAGGAAGGAGGGGACTGGTGGGAAGAGTAAAGGAGGGAGACTGCCCAGGGCCCCTGCAGCATCCTGGGCTGGCCTGGATCCCAGGTCCCTGCTGGAGTCAGTACTTTCCCAGCCTGCATCTGAGGCTGGCCTCTACTTTCCCCTCCCCCACTCTGCACCCACCTGGATCCGGTCCCCATTGGGTGTGGTGTTTTTGTGGTCTCCAAGTGCCGGATGGAGGTAACTGGAGGCAGGGAAGCAAAGAGGGGAGAGGGTAGGAGAGGTGGGGCAGGAGCCTGGCCGCACCCACAGGATTGGCCAAGCCATGCCCTCTTGGCTGGCACCTGACCCAAAGTTCCCTCAAAGCAGTAGTGATCTCAGCCACCGCCCTGAACTCTGCCAGTCTCAGCCTGGAGTCATGAGGTGGGCTCTCCATGGGCAGGGTGGGCAGCGGCAGGAGCCATCTCTGGGACAGCAGCAGTGAGGAGGGCAGTGAGTGCCAAGCCCTGTGCAGGCCACAATGGACAAGTTCCGGATGATCTTTCAGTTCCTGCAGTCCAACCAGGAATCCTTCATGAACGGCATCTGTGGTATCATGGCCCTGGCCAGCGCCCAGATGTACTCAGCCTTTGACTTCAACTGCCCCTGCCTGCCTGGCTACAATGTGGCCTACAGTGCAGGCATCCTGCTGGCGCCCCCACTTGTGCTCTTCCTGCTGGGCTTGGTCATGAACAACAACGTGTCCATGCTGGCTGAGGAGTGGAAGAGGCCGCTGGGCCGCCGCGCCAAGGACCCTGCCGTGTTGCGCTACATGTTCTGCTCCATGGCACAGCGGGCACTCATTGCACCTGTGGTCTGGGTGGCCGTCACACTGCTCGATGGCAAGTGCTTCCTCTGTGCCTTCTGCACCGCTGTGCCCTTGACCGTGTTGGGCAATGGCAGCAGCATGGCTCCAAGCCTGTCCGCCTCTGAGCTTGCCCGCCTGCTAGCCCGGGTGCCCTGCCCTGAGATCTATGATGGTGACTGGCTGCTGGCCCGCGAGGTGGTCGTGCGTTACCTGCGCTGTATCTCCCAGGTGAGCCGGGTCCTCTCATAGGCCGGGCTCCTTCTGGGAGGGACCCATTCCCCATCACCTGTTAGATGGCACCCTGAGCAGGGAAGGACAGACAATGGTGGGGGCTCCCTGGAGCAGGCCCTGGGGTCCCCAGGGCTGACTCATCTCCTCCACTCTCAGCTCCAGCTTGGGGGCTGGGAGAATTTGCATTTGGTTCCTCTACTAAAGCGGGGAGGCTAGTGAGTGGCCAGGTCATTTGGCTACATTTTCCTGGCAAATGCCCCCAGCTGGCATCTCTGCACTTGTCGACTGGGAGCTAAAGGGAGTATGTGGATGAGGAACAAGTACTGCTTGATGCAACTTGAAGCCCACCCAGGCCACACAGCCCTTCCTGGGCCAGACCTTCTCTCCTGCCATGCCTCTGTTGCATCCTGCCAATTGCTTCCAGTTATACTCCTACCCCGAGATCCCAACCCTAACTGTTTCTCTCCCAGACCTGCTTCCATGCTGTCCTCTGGGCACTTGTCCTATCACCCCCAGGCCTCCCCTAACCCCGAGACTACCACATCATAAGTTGCTAAGGTCTGTTAAGGCTGTAGGCTGCCTGGCAGAGGCTGAATTTGGGATTCAACTGTAGCATCCACCAGCATTATCCACCCAGCGGAATTTCTCATACAAAAGTTGCATTCCCCAATGCACCTGAAGCATGAGAGGACCCAGTCCCACAAGGCCTATGTTTGCTCATCAAGCAGCTGGGGAGGGGGTACATACCAAATGACCACCTCCTTACCAACCCTCTACCACCACCAAGCATATGTCTCTCCCTCCTTGTCTGTGTGGCTGGGGCCTAGAATGCAGGAAAGAGGAGCACCCTGCCCAATGTCCAGAGCAGGCTAGGACATTCCACGGACACTTGCATGACCCATCAGAGCTGCCTAGGGCCCGTGTAGGTTCAGCTAGCTGAGTGCCCATGTAGGGGAGGTGCTCGCTTGGATCTGGCTATGAGAGGCAGACAATACCAGGAACCAAAGCTCCGAGGAAGAGGCTTGCTTTGGCCTGCAGAGGTCAAGGAAGGTTTCTTGGAGGAAGTAGTACACTCAGTGAGGTTCTCCTGCTGGGGGCATATTAACAGCTAGCAGTTACTGAGCTGCTTGAATCAGGCATGGTGCTAAAGCTTTTTTATTTTTAGGGATTTATTTATCATTTTTATTTGAAAGGCAGATTTACAGGGAGAAGGAGAGACCGAGAAAGAAAGATCTTCCATCTGCAGATTCATTCCCCAATGGATGGGGCTGAGCTGGTTTGATCTGAAGCCAGAAGCCAGGAGCTTCCCCTGGGACTCCCATATGGGTGCAGGGTCCCAAGGCTTTGGGCCATCCTCCACTACCTTCACCAGGCTATCACCAAGGAGCTGGATGGAAAGTGGAGCTGCTGGGACATGAACTGGCACCCATATGGGATCCTGGCACTTAGAGGGTTAGCCAACTAAGCCATCACTCAGTGGGTGACTTATTATTAAACCTGCCCTAAGTTTATTATTTCTTGTAGTTGTCACAGCACCCGTTTCAGATGAGATCAGGCACGTTCAGGGTGATAGGCACCCGTTTCTGTGAGGGGCTGGGCGCAGCAGCAGCTCTGCGGGGGAATGTAGGCACAGAGTTATCAGGTGCTTTGCTCCAGGGAACGCTGTGAGACTTGGACGCAAAGCCAAGCAGCCTCACTCTAGGGTCTGACCTGTTTAACTCCTGTGCATTGAGTGTGCTCAGCCGACGTGGCCTCATCCCCACAAGGTGAGTACAATCTATGCCCATTTCACAGATAAGCCAGTGTAGTCAAATGATGAAGCCATTTGTCCAGTCCATGCTCTCTAGTCTAAAGGCCCCTGGCATAGTGAGTGCTGTGGGGGAACCACCTAGAAAGGGGAGCAGGAGCCTGGTACCCCATACTGTCACTCCCTGTCCCCGCAGGCCCTGGGCTGGTCCTTTGTGCTGCTGACCACACTGCTGGCATTCCTGGTACGCTCTGTGCGGCCTTGCTTCACCCAAGCTGCCTTCCTCAAGAGTAAGTACTGGTCCCACTACATTGACATTGAACGCAAGCTCTTTGACGAGACGTGCACAGAGCATGCCAAGGCCTTTGCCAAGGTCTGCATCCAGCAATTCTTCGAGGCCATGAACCACGACCTGGAGCTGGGTCATACGCATGGGGTGCTGGCCACAGCCCCTGGTGCCTCTGCAGCCCCTGTAAACCCTGATGGCTCTGAGGAGGAGAGGGAGAAGCTGCGAGGTATCACGGATCAGGGCACCATGAACAGGTTGCTGGCTAGCTGGCACAAATGCAAGCCACCTCTGCGGCTGGACCATGAGGAGCCGCTGGTGGGCAATGGCTGGGCAGGGAACAGGCCCAGGCCCCCACGCAGGGAGGTGGCCACCTACTTCAGCAAAGTGTGAGTTGCAAAGTCCTGCAGACCCCAAAGCAGGCCTGATGCTGGGCCTGCAGCCCTAGAGCCAACCCAGGTCCACCTGTGCTCACCCACCAAAACAGGAGGTTTGGAGCTAGCAGCCTATCCCCACTTCTCCAGGGTGCTGGTGGCCTTGGAACAGCAGGTCCCTGAGCAGTGTTAGTTGGAAAGCTGCAAACTGGTTTGGGGGTACAGGGATAGATGGCTACCACTCACCAGCCCTAACTCAGACAGCAGCAGATCCAGCAGCCCCCTGCCCTGTATCTCTGAATCTGGGCTAGGATGAGGATGCAAGGGACAGAAACTCCTGTTGCAGATTGCAGCTTTACCACAAGGCCACAAAGCTGGCCCCAGCACACAACTTTTAAGCTGTATCTGTTGCTGGTGGTCTCAAACAAAGCAGTCAGGTAAAGTCATGCAGGTCAGGTTCCCCTACTCCTGCCTTGGATAAGCACAGATCAGGGGGCCAGGAGGGGGTCGCTCAACAGGAAGAGCATGAGGAGCCCCTTCTGGGACTGACAGGGGGCGGGTCTAGCCTGCACTAACCACTCCATCCCCAGCACTTCTGCCCCACCTGGGCTCACAAGGTCCCTGGCTGGGCACAGTCTGGGCAGCTTCCTGCAGAAACCCGCCCCCGTGGAATTTCCCAGCCTCCAGTCCGAGCTGGTCCACCTTCCTCAGAGGACCCGGGATCCTGGAGCCAGCGCAGGCATGCAGGGAAGAACTGGCGCTGCTGGGATTTGTCCAGCCGCCGGTGGCAGCCCAGCTCTGAAAGTGAAGGGAGTGTGTGTGCTGCGGTCCTGGGATCCCTGTGAAGGGTCTACTTCGTTCCGACGGGCCCCCTCCCCGTGGCAGCCGCTCCCTGATGGGGGTGCATCCAGTGGGGCAAGCCCAGGTCAGATCTCCCCGGGGATGGAGGCGAGGACCCCCGCCTGGCCTCTGCTGAGTAGTCCCCCTCCAACCCCCCCATCCCCGCTCTCGGTGTGGAGTGCGACGGTAAGGTCCGACAGTTCTGAATGCAGAAGGGGCCAGCTCCAGGAGCACCCGGGGCGCGGGAGCCGCCACAACTTCCTTTGGGCACGCACCGCCCTCGCTGCCTGCCTGTCCGCCCGCCCTCGCAGGCCTGGCCTGCGAACGCTGTTTTTCCATTCGCCGGCGCGCACGCTCCATCTGTTTCCTCCCCTCTGCTCTGGAGTGGAATTTGTTTGAGACGCCACCATCAGCCTCGCGCCCTGCTGGAAGCAAAAGCCACGAGTGGACAGAGCCGGCCCCGAGGGCGCTTCACCCGCCCACCCCCGCTGCTGGTCCGGAAGGCCACGCCCGGAGAAGTTGCAGTCCCCGCGCCCGCCCGTGCAGTGAGAGTTCTTTCTGCTGGGGTGCCTGCAGCTGCTCCCAGGTAAGGAAGCCTGCCCGCAGGGGCATGTCAGGTGTCCTGGTGATTGTCCAAGGAAAAGTGGCTCCTGGTTGAGGCCCCCCAACTCCCGGCCGGTCAATCATGCCCCCTGCCCTAGCCGCCAGCTTCCCGTGGGGCCTGATGTTGGAGGAAGCCCGCCTGCTCCCGGGGGCGCCTAGAAGGTGGCCTGATCCTGCTTCCGCCCACCACCATCAGGTCCTCCCCATTGGGTCACCACAGGGGGCTAACACAGAAAGAGCCCTGGAGCCAGAAGGGGGAGTTGGCTTTAGTCGGTTCATTCCTCCCAAGCTCTCTGGGAGGTGGGCTGTGAAAGAGCACGATTTCTACGCCTTTTGGCACCCACAATCCTGCCTTGCTGTGCTGGGCCCATCTGGCAGCGTGGGAAGGGACTGGGGAGAGGAAGTGCTGAAGGAATTGGGTATCTTTGTGTGCGTCTCACCGCATCCTCCGGTCCCTGGCAGCCTCTGGCCCAGGGATTTTTGTTTTTCATCCTGGAGATGGGCAAGACAAGGGGCCCCGCCCTGGCCTGGCTCGCGGGCTTGTGTGGGTGGAGCCTGGGAAGGGAGTTGGTGGTAAAGTTTGCTGGAGCCCGAAGTCCAGGCTGCTGGCAGGCAGGCTGCCAGGCTGTTACAGCCCACACAGGCTCCTGCTGGACTGGTGGGTGTCTGGTGGGTGCCACTGGGCCCCTCCTTTCCCCTAGCTTCCTGCTCCCAACCCCAAGATGGAGCTTTATGGTGCAAGGCTGCTAGGTAGGAAAGAGGGATACTGGCTGAGGAAGAGTAGGCTTGCCAGGGATCTTGTGGAAGGACACAGGGCTAAGCCAGTTGTGGACAGAATGGAGATATTCTCAGACCCCACTGCCCACAGTTCTGAGGCTGTGGCCGAACATCCTGCCCAGGCACGAATAGAATGATGTGCAGGCAGGAGCTTGAGTCCAAGTTCTGCCATTGACATATGACCTGGTCAGCAGCTGGCCAGCCATGTGCACCATGGGGTGAGGATCGCTCGGCAGAGGGCTTTGGGGACGGGCAGTGAGGGGCCTTCAGGAGCCTGCCCCTGGCACAGGCTTCTTCCTCAGCTCCAGGAGTGAACACTGACCAGGTCTTTGCTGTTCCCCAGGAAGCACCGGATCAGCCTTCACAGGTGACATGGCATGCCCACAACCAACTGCCTGCAGCCTCTTCTAAGTCCCTCCCAGCCTCCGGCCTCCTGCTGCTTCTGTGGCCCTCACTCCTCCTTCACCCCCAGCCATCACCATGGCAGCGCTGGTTGCAGAGAACTTCCGCTTCCTCTCGCTCTTCTTCAAGAGCAAAGATGTGATGATTTTCAATGGGCTGGTGGCTCTGGGCACAGTGGGCAGCCAGGAGCTATTCTCTGTGGTTGCCTTCCACTGCCCCTGCTCACCAGCCCGCAACTACCTGTATGGGCTGACAGCCATTGGTGTGCCCGCACTGGCGCTCTTCCTCATTGGAGTCATCCTCAACAATCACACCTGGAACCTTGTTGCGGAATGCCAGTACCGGAGGACCAAGAACTGCTCGGCTGCCCCCAACTTCCTCCTGCTAAGCTCCATCCTGGGCCGTGCAGCCGTGGCCCCCGTCACCTGGTCTGTTATTTCCTTGCTGCGGGGTGAGGCCTATGTCTGTGCTCTCAGTGAATTTGTGGACCCCTCCTCACTCACAGCAGAGGAGGCCGGATTCCCACCAGACCATGCCACTGAAATCCTGGCCAGGTTCCCCTGCGGAGAGGGCCCTGCCAACCTGTCAGGCTTCCGGGAGGAGGTGAGCCGCAGGCTCAAGTATGAATCCCAGGTAAGGGCAGGTGTGGAGGGGACCCTCCTCGTCCTTCCCTGGGTGGAAGCGGATGGGGAGGCACTGGGATGGGCCATAGCGGAAGCCCAAGATCTCCCCTGGGGAACGTTAGGCTGTCAGCCTTGGGATCAGAGCTGGTCAACCTGTGAGCAGCGCTCGGCAAGGCCAGGAGCAACTGAGGCCCCCAAGTAAGAGAGTTTCCATATATCTTATTTTATATATGCTGCAACAGCCAGGGCTGGGCCAGGCTCAAGCCAGGAGTCAGCAACTCAATTCGGGTTTCCCGTGTGAGTGGCAGGGACTGAGGTGCACAAACCATCACGAGCTGTGTCCCAGGGCGCATGCTGGTTGGAGGCTCCTCTGATATGGGATGTGGGCACCCCAGGGGCTGACAACCCTGACGCAGCCACAGATACATCCCTTGCCCCAGCCAGAGAGCTTCCCTGAGCCACCAGAAGTGGCTACTATGGGGTGGGTACTGACAGTGGATGACGAGCCCATTCCCGGCCAGGTTTGAACCTGCCTAACGGGAGCCCCTGGAGTGGGAGCAAGGCATTGGGTTCCGGAGCCAGCTGCTGTCCCAATCCTAATATGGAGTGACCTTTTCTGCATTCGCAAACAGTGGAGGCTGGTCAAGGAGAGACGGCAAGGGAAAGGAGCAGGGCACAGCAGATAACTTGGAGGAGCAGTGGCAGAGGGAGCCAGGAGACCAAGAATTTCTTAAAGGTTTCCCAAGCATGTTCATGAAACCTAAGTAATGGCCAGTGTTGTGGCACAGTGGGGTAAGACGCTGATTGCCCCCCCGAAAAAAGAACCCCCTATGGGAGTATTCTCAAGTCCCCATTGCTCTGCTTTCAATTCAGCATTCCTGCTAATGCTCCTCATCTGGCAGCAGCAGGTGGCTGAAATACTATGGCCTCTGCCATCCACATGGAGAGCAGAATGCGGAGCTTGGCTCCTGGTTTTAGGGGCCTAGTTCTGGCTATGGTGGTCATTTGGGGAGTGAAGCAGTAGACAGAATATCTGTTGTTGTTCTGCCTTTCAATAAATACATCTTCTTTAAAAATTAGGGAAATGGGTGCGGTAGCCTTGTGGCTAAATCCTTGCCTTGCATGGATCGTGTATGGGTGCTAGTTGATATCCTGGCTGTTCCACTTCCCTTCCAGCTTCCTGCTTCTGGTCTGGGGAAGCAGTAGAGGATGGCCCAAAGCCTTGGGGCCCTGCACCTATGCAGGAGACCCGGAAGAAGCTTCTAGCTTTGGATCAGCTTAGCCCTGGCCATTGTGGCTACTTGGAGAGTGAATCAGCAGATGGAAGATCTTTCTCCTTTTCTCTGTAAATCTGACTTTCCAATAAAAAAATAAATAAATCTTAAAAAACAGGGAAATGGGGCCAGGAGGATAGGGTAGAAGCATCATTAAGCTCCTAAGTCTATATTGCCAATATATGTGAAATTTGGCCTCTTTTTGTAAATAAATATATATATTTTTTAAGTAAGCAGAGGAACATGGGTCAAAAATCAGTGAGAAAGGACACAGATGGGCAAAGAAAAAAACTGATGACTAAATACCCACAAGCCACTGATGGGAGCAAGCAGAAAACACAAATTGACCTTGACCAACCTCACTGAAACCAACTGCAGTAGTGTAGGAGGAAGCAGACCAGGAGCAGTCCAAGCAGGGGTCTCGGACGGCTTCCTGGAGGTGGCATCCGAGTCAAGCCTGGTGGTTGGGGTGAGGTGGTGGCAGGAGAGGAGGTATCTTTGGGATTGAAGAAGAGTGGCAGCAAAACTGCAGGGGGAGCACAGTCTCAGAGCAGGGGGAGTACCATAAAGTGGGTAAGGGGAGTGTGGGGGAAGCCAAGCCCAAAGGGGCTGCCTCACAGGTGGATGTGGAAGCTGCTTGCCCATCCTTAAAACTGCCTGTTCCTTGCCAGCTCCTCGGGTGGCTGCTCATTGGCGTGGTGGCTGTCCTGGTGTTCCTGACCAAGTGCCTCAAGCACTACTGCTCACCGCTCAGCTACCGCCAGGAGGCCTACTGGGCGCAGTACCGCTCCAACGAGGACCAGCTCTTCCAGCGCACAGCCGAGGTGCACTCGCGGGTGCTTGCCGCCAACAACGTGCGCCGCTTCTTTGGCTTCGTGGCGCTCAACAA